AAAATCCTAGTAACACCAATATATAAAAAAATGCGTACCACAGAATATTTTATAATACCAATAACTGCAATACAACCGCAAAAAATATAAAATGATCGACGGCGATATAACTCGTGGCGATATAACACCCTAAAAGTCCTAGTAACACCAATATATTAAAAAATGAGTACCACAGAAGATTTTATAATAACAATAAATGCAATACCACCGCAAAAAATATAAAATAAAATGGAATTTTGAGAATGGCAATCAACGCGTTAAACTAGAATCTCTATGTGTACATGGACGACTTAAACTAGTTGAATAGTTATGGAGAAAAGCGAAAGAAAAGAGCGAAAAACTTCAACCTCTTGCGATTAACGAAGACGACGAGCGTTCCGTGATTAGGCAGGAAGTTCAGGGGCGGCCTAGCAGCAAGTTCCTGAGTCCGAATAAACAAAAGAAGAAATAAAGAGAAACTTTTATCCTTAAACGCCGCATGTTACTGGGGACCTGCGAGTTATCAAAGTTGCGCCTGGGGCGCTCCAAACTTTGTCCTGCGGTTAAAACTGTTCAAAAGCATCGTAGTCATGCTCCGGACAAAGCGCGATCATTGATCGGAGCATCGACTATGGTATCCGCTAGTGGCGGATGTATTTTCTTATTCTGTTTTGAGGCTCTTGCCGGAACATCTCACGCATAAGTTACTGAAAACTGTAATGCAATCATCGTTACTGTCCTAATAAACCTTAACATATGAATCTGTACGAAAATCGATATCGAGTTTTATTTGTATCATCCTCTCATATGTTTATAATTGTTCATTTATTTATATTGTTATTATAAGTACTTTTTACTTCAATTCTTTAATTATAAGTGTTTCTACTTAAATTCTTCAATTATGAGTGTTGCTATTTAAATTTTTCAATTATAAGTGTTTCTATCTAAATTTTTATGTGTTTCTATTTAAATTCTTCAATTATGAGTGTTGCTATTTAAATTCTACAATTATAAGTGTTTCTATCTAAATTCTTATATGTGTTTCTATTTAAATTCTTCAATTTTCATATATTAAAATACTTAAGTTACAAGTTTGAGATATTCTGGATTTTATATGAGAGAGTTTATGGTTTTTGAAACTGACGAAATAATGACAAAATAATTGTGAAATATTTGAAGTTAACATTGTAAATTCTCTGATCTTTGAATATTTTAATTTTTAGATCTGCAAATTCATAGATTATAAGATTCGAAAAGAATCCTCGAATTATTGATTGCGGAGGGCGCTACTAGATGGCGCATGAGGTGGAGACTTTCTCGCTAGTGCTCGAGGAGCCTAGCGCTTCATATAAGTAGCTCCAGTCCATCCCTTCCATGTATCTCTGCGTCTGAGGCATGGGTCTGTTAGGATTCCTTACTGAGTCCAGTAGTAGCGGACGAAAAGAGACGCCGCCCCTCTTCTTCTTCTTCACTCTTTTCTAGCCTAATCCTCTCTAAATACCAAAATATCCAAATTCCTAAACTTTGCAAATCTCAAAATTCCTAGATTCCCAAATCCCAAATTCCAAAACTTTCCAAATCCCTAAATTCCCAAATCCTTAAGCTCCTAAATTCCTAAATCCCAAAATTCCCAAATCCCTAAGCTCCCAAATTCCAAAACATTCAAATCCCTAAGCTCCCAAATTCCAAAGCTCCCAAATCCCTAAGTTCTCAAATTCCAAAATTCCCAAATTCCAAAGCTCCCAAATCCCAAAATTTCCAAATCCCTAAGCTCCCAAATTCCAAAGCTTCCAAATCCCTAAGCTCCCAAATCCCTAAGTTCTCAAATTCCAAAATTCCCAAAT